GCTGCTGCCTCTATCACCAAGTGGTTCAGAGTAAAGGTTGTTTGAGGTAGTTCACCACAACCAATCTTCCTTAGTCTCCTTGTCTAGAGGTTGCGATGTCATGTTGCAGCTGCAGAGGACATTGGTTAGGCCACTTTTGGAATACTGCATTGAATTCTGATCTCCCTGCTATAGGAAAGATGATGTTAAACTTGAAAGCATGCAGAAAAGATTTACAAGGATGTTGCTGCGGTTGAGTTATAGGGAGAAGTTGAATAGGCTGAGGCTGTTTTCCCTGGACTGTCAGAGGCTAACGTGTGACTTTGTAGAGGTTTATAAAATCATGAGGGCCAGGGATAGGATGAATAGCCAAGGCCTTTTTCCCAGGGTAGAGGAGTCCAAAACTAGAGGGCGTAGGTTTAAGGTGAGAGGAGAAAGATTTAAAAGGGACCTGAGGAGCAACATTTTCACAGACGGTGTATGGAATGAGCTGGTGGTGGAGGCAGGTACAATTACTCCATTTAAAAGGCATCAGGATGGGTACATGAAAGGAAGGGTTAGGAGGAATAGGGGCCAACTGCTGGAAAATGGGATCATGTCAGTTTAGGAAATCTGGTTGGCACAGATGAGTTGCCCTGCAAGATCTGTTTCTGCGTTGTATAACCCTATGAGTCTACAAGAGGCACTGTACTTAGTTAACAAGGTGGTTTACTGCACTATAGCAAAAAGTCCAATTAAATTGTTAGTCAGGCGTAATTATTAGGACTCTTGGGAGCTGTATCGAATACATCTGCTCCCTCTGAAGTATCATTTAAAACCCAGACTGTATGTGAAATAATCTGATTGGGTGGAGCTCAACGCAATAAGAAAATTACTTTCTTCAGAACCATTGCCATATACAACAGTTTACCCCCAAGTTTATTTTTTTCCCATAGTTGGTTAATGATTGTAAAGATAAAATCACCATAGTCTCACTCTCTCACTAGAGAGAAATGACTGGTAGTGGTTTAATCCAAGAGTCACCACAGCTCAGATAAGGAACAATGTTAAGAAAGCAGGTGAACTCAGTTGGTACAGGAATTGAACCCACACTGTTGGTATCACTCTACATCACAAACCTGCTAGCGAGCTAACCAACCCCAAAATAAGTTGGTGCTTATTGTGGATACATTCATGTACATAATTATATTTACCACCATACCAACTCCCTCCAAGTCTAGAGTCATACAGCTTAGAAACAGACCCTTCAGTCCAACTCAACCATGTCAACCAGGCATCCCAATCTGACCTAATCCCATTTGCCAGCATTTGGCCCATATTCTTCTAAAATCTTCCTATTCATATACACATCCACATGCCTTTTAGATGTTGTCATTGTACCAGCCTCCACCACTTCCTTTGGCAGCTCACTCTATATGCAACACCCTCTGTGTTAAAAAGTTACTCCTCAGGTTTTTTTAAATCTTGCCCCTCTCACCTTATATCTACGTCCTCTAGTTTTGGACTCGCCCACGCTTGGGAAAAGACCTTGACTATTCATGCTATCCCTGCCCCTCATGAGACTTCACAAATCCAAGAGATCTGGACATTTTACAATCTTTCCAGAATGTGTTATCCTTGAACTTGAAAGATAAATTGGGCTTTTATTTGAGGGTTTGTAATCTCAGTCCTGATCTTGACTTTGATTGGTCTGTGAAACATTAATGTCATGACATTCCTCATTGGATTTGTTCCAGTCAAGTATCAGGAATGGTGGTTCTGTAACACGATAAGGATCCTGCAGTCCCTCCATACAACTCTCTCAGCTATACAGATAAGATACAATCACTGATGGTCCACTGACTCTTGTGACGAGTGTACTATTCTGCTTGAGATCCCTTATCACATATCCTTTGAATGCCCTTGGCTCAAGTGTGGCAACTGTCATGCTTGGTGACATCCATGATAATGAGTAGCTTCTTGTTCCCTGAAGACTGCTCTTTGATGTCTGGTTGGCACAAACGATTTAGATGAAGGGCCAGTTTTTGTGCTCTATATGACTCTATGACTCAATGATTCTATCTTTGTAGAATTGGAATTAGGTTTGTTGTCACATGTACTCAAACACAGGGATACATGAGTACAGCGAAAATGGTACAAAGTCATCATTTCTGGTGCCATCTTAGGTACAAAGATACCCAGGGTCAAAATCTTAGGTATAAATTGGGAAAGTGAAGAAATAAAGGTGAAAGCTCAGCATTACAGTCCTTCTAAAGCAGGAAGTCCATGCTCAAGTTCACTTTGAGGCTAGGAGTTGGCACTGGGCTTCCTCGAGTGTGGGAGCTTGCGCTGGGCTTCACCTCGAGACTAGGAGTCTGAGCTGGGCTTGCTTGAGGCAGGAGTCCTGTGTAGACTGTGAACTCAACTGTGGAGACAGCCTCTTTGGTAGTATAGGTGGCTGGGCCATAAGAGTCCTCCAAAACAGGAACTCTGAAGGTGATAAGCCACATTGGAATGAGGTGGATTGGTAAGTTAAGGCTGCATTAAAAAAAAAATCGGAACTTTTCTTCAAAAGGGATTCAGTTAGCTTGATCCCGACTTGGCTTCCCCATTGGACTGTGGACATCCTGGTGGCGTCGACACAAGTCCACTGCCAGAACTGGCTGAAGGACCCTTTAGCCAAATGTGGCCCATCAGTTGACACAATTGCATCAGGGATCCCACATGTAGTAAATAGTTCATTCAATATGAAAGGCTTGTCTTATGGGGATAGATTGAGCAAATTAAACCAAACTCACTACAGTTTGGAAGGAATACAAAAGATTTAACTAAGATATATAAGATGCCAGAAGTGATTAACAAAAGAGATGTACAGTGAATGTTTCCAGAACGAGTGGTCACAGTTTTAGATAAAGGGTGGCAGATTCAAAACAGATATAAGGAGGAATTTACTTTTGTCAAAGGTTGCAAATCTGTTGAACTCACTATCCTAGAGTTTGGTAGATGTCGAAAAACTTAAAAAATAAAGGAAGTGATAGACAGATTTTTAATTAGTAAAGGGTTAAAGGGTTATGGAGTACAGGCATGAAAGTGGAATTGGAGAAGAGAACAGTCATGGTCGTATCAAAGAAAAAACAGGGTCAAGGTGCTGAATTGTCCACTCCAATTCCTGGTTGTTGTGTTCTAAGGCCTAGGTCCAAGTCCCACTACTCCACCAATGTGTGACACCATCTCTGAACTGGTTGATTTGAAAATATCTACAATTCAATCTCACCAACAAGTTCCTCATCATTCAATGTAAAACTGTCAACTGTTGCTCTGCACAGCACATCTGCTGTCAATTCTCACTGCTACTTAAATGCTATTAAGTTGCTGCTTTGTAGTGAGTTACAGCTTTCAAGTGTTAAAATTATGTTTCTTCATAATATATTGTACCTCCATACTGCAAAATGGGGTTTCCTGTCAAAAATGGTGGCCACTCACCTTTTCTAAGGTTTACCCACTTCTCGTAAGGCATAATAAATAATTTCCTGCTTTTCACATTCCAAAACACTAGGCACTGTCTTCTACATAAATATCTAAAAATCGTTCTCTGGCTGCAGTCCTTCCAAACCCACCTGCCAAAATCCCAGTTCAGTTAAAATCCCAGTTCACATAATTTTTTAGCTTTTCTTGACTTTTCTTGTTTTCTTAGACTCTCTCACTAGATTTCTTTCGATTTGCTCTTTTCCTGCTTAAATAAATTTTGAGGCCTTCTTGATTTGGCAGCCATGGTCTAAATTTATTTTCTGGCCCCTTGACGGTCATAGTTGGACCTTGTGGAAATTAAACCACATGGTGGTGATGCTGATTGTGAGAGGAGAGAGCACTGTTCTCTCACTCCCTGGGTGTTTCCTTTCTGGTCTTTGCACTGTACATGTAAAGTTATCTACATTTCCCTGAGGGATATTTAACTTTTCATCTGGAACTTTCTCTTGATCCTGAAAAAAAACCTTCTTTGTCTTTTACTAAATGTGCTGGCTTGCTAGTCCAGATTCTTTTCCCTCTGTTCTTACAACCTTCGAGGTATGTCTTTTGAGTGTTGAGTTGCTATGTTGCTGCACTTGGTGATGGGATTTCAGTTATTGACTGACAGCCTTTGTATTCTTAAAAGTGCTAATATTCCTAAAGTGGTAAACTCAAGTGTCTTCAAATTACCCTTTTCTTCTAGTTCTTCTACTCCTCGTGTTGATGATCTCTGCATGGAATTCAACTCCATGCTATTGCTCACCGGAAGAGGTTGTTCTTAATTAACTAGATGTTTTATTGTATTATAGCAATAAATATAACTAAACGACAAGTCAGGCATAGAGATAACAAGATGTAGAGCTGGATGAACACAGCAGGCCAAGCAGCATCAGAGGAGCAGGAAAGCATGATTACTGGAGGACTTACAGGAGCTGTACTGAATACATATCTTTGGAACTATCTTCCTCAAAAAGCAGAAGTGAAAACAGAGTCATTGAGTATTTTTAAGGCAAAGTAACATTGATTCTTGAGAAGCAAAAGGGTGAAAGATTATCTAGGAAGGCAGAGTAACGTACAGAGAATGCACGGTTCTGAGGAAGAGTCTGTTTCTCTCTCTGCAGATGCTGCTGGACCTACTGAGTTTCTCCAGTGCTCCTCTGTGTTTGTTTCAGGTTATGTAGAGTACATTAGATCACCTATGATCTTGTTGAGTGGGGTAGCAGTACTAGACGGGCTGAGTGGCCCACTCCAGATGCTGACTAATATGTTTGTACCTCCACCCAGAGTGACACTCACTCGTTGCATGTGACTTTTACCTGAAGCACTGACATTTCCTCGTTAACCCGTTCAGAGATGTTCTTGCACACGTCTGGGGCAGGTGGGACTTGAACCAGCTTCTCCCGGCTCATAGATATAAACACTACCGCTGCACCGCAAGAGCCTTTATCTGTTTGAGTCTCTAGTAGGAACTGAAGTGTGCCGGAACGCTTTATCAGCGCTCACGCGGGCCTGGCGGGGGGATTGTTTTTGTGAGTGGGCCAAGATGGCGGCGACCACCGGCGCGGATTTCACCGAGCCGCCGCCGAATGTTTTTTATTTTCGGGACCCGAAGCCGGTGGCGGATCCGATCGTCGAGGCGGGAAAAAGCCCTGGAGGGTGTCCGGGCCAGGTGCCTCTCGTGGTGGATAATGGGTCTTTTCAGTGCCGGGCCGGCTGGGCCCTGGACCAGAAGCCGCGGCTTCAGTTTAAGAACGTGTCGGCCCGGAGCCGCGGCGCCTCCCGCAGCGACACCCAGGTCGGCAACGATATCCGTAACCTAGAGGTGGTCCGCTGGCTGCTCAAGTCCCAGTTTGACAGGAACGTGGTGGTGAATTTCGATATTCAGGAGCAGGTGTTTGACTACATCTTCCAGCACCTGGGGATCACCTCTGAGGTCAGAGTTCACCCTGGGGAGGGGAGAGGGTCACCACAGAGCACCACGTTGTTAAATGCTCTGACATGGTAAACAGTGCCACCAATACAGTATACCATGCCCCTGTTATGGCAGGCTCTGCGCCCCCGCCCCCCCCAACACGTCAGGCTGTGCCCCAGACAGGGCAAGTGTGTCCCCCAATATGCCAGGCTATACCCCTGATATGGGAAGCCGTGCCCTGGATGGGACAAGTTGTGTCCTGACATATCAATCGGTACTGTAGATGGAGCATGTTGTGCCCCCGACACGTCGGGCTGTACCGCTGACATGGGAAACTATGCTGTGGAAGGGGAAAGCTGTGCCCCCAGTCTGGTAAACTACGCCACTCTATCATGGAAAAGCTTAACTGATAGGGCATGATGTGACCTGATGTTGAACCATAGTGATATGATTTAGCATGAACACAGTATGGTGCTGCAAGCCAGTGTGTCATCATAGGTTGCACCATGCCACAATGGATCAGAATTTGATGGCAAAATGATTTTAATGCACATGACATAATACTGTAAGAAAGAAAAGGTAATTTGTGGCAAGTAAAGAGTACATTGTGATTCACCACATTTTGATGGTCAATTTGCCCTGCTTCATATATTGTGATGCAGTCTTGGGATTTGGCATGACAAAAAGTATGAGAAGCTGAGCTTCTCCTGTCCCTCTTTTATCACTTGTTATTAATTATCTTTAGCCAAGTGAATCATAATTTACAGCTACATATTAACTCGATTGCAGCTATTTTAAGTTCTAAAGATTGTAAGTTTTGGTCCTATAAAAAATGGAGGATAAAGAGATGGCAGATGAATTGAACAGATACTTTGCATCGATCTTTACTGAGGGAGGATACAAGTAGCACTCCTGTAAGTCAGAAATTGAAAGGGAGGGAGGAACTCAAGAAAATTATAAATACCAAGAAAGTAGTACCGAGGAAATTGTTGGAAGTGAGAGTCAATAAGTCCCTAGGTCCCGATGGGGACAAATGAAATTGTTGATGCATTGGTTCTAATTTTGCAAAACTCAATTTTCTTGAGTTCCTCCCTCTCTTTCAGGGAACGTTCCTTTAGATTGGAAAATAACTAATGTAACTAATTTAATCAAAAAGGGAGGAAGGCAGAAAGCAGGAAATTACAGGCCAGTTAGCTTAACATTAGTCATAGGAACGTTATAACAGGACACTTAGACAAGTTCAAGATAAGCGGGCACAGCCAACATAGTTTGGTCAAAGGGAATTCATGTGTTGTTAACTTATTGGCGTTCTTTGAAGAAGAACTTGTGCTTTAGAGAAAGGGGATCCGGTGGATGGATTATATTTAGATTTCCAGAAGGCATTTGATAAGGTGCTGCATCAAAGATTATTGTGGAAAATAAAAGCTCATAATGTAGGGCTCAACATATTGGCCTGGTTACTGAAGATTGGTTACTGAAATAGAGACTTGGAATACGTGAGTCTTTTTCAGGCTGGCAGGATGTCTTGAGCAGTGTGCCACAGGAGTCAGTGCTGGGGCCTCGACTGCAAAATTTATATCAATGATTTGGGTGAAGGAATCAAAGGTAGGGTGGCTATATCTGCTCATGACACAAAGATGTGTAAGAACATGAGTTGTAAGAGGTTATAGGGAACCTACAAAGGGATATAGATAAGTTGAGGGTATGGAGAAAGATCTGGCAAATGAAGTACAGTGTGGAAAAATTGCCTCATGAGGAAGGGCTAGACAGGCTAGGCCTATATCCTCTGGAGTTTAGAAGAGTTAGAGGTGAATTAATTGAAACATTTAACGTCCTGAGGGGACATGACTGGTTGGATATTGCAAGGATGTTTCCTCTAATGGAAGAATCTATAGTTAGGGGTCATGGTCTAAGAATAACGTGGTACCCATTTAAAACAGATGAGGAAACATTTTTTTTCTCTCAGAAGGCTGTGAGCTTTTGGAGTTCCCTTCCTTAAAAGTCAGTGGGCACACAACCTTTAAATATTTTTAAGATAGAAGTGGATAAATTCTTGATGACCAAGCAAATGAAAGATTATCAGGGATGTGCAAGAATGTAGTGTTGCGATTAAAATCGGATCAGCCATGATTTTCTTGAATGACAGAGCAGGCTCGAAGGGCTGAGTGGAATGGCCTACTCTTGTTCCTAGTTCATATGTTCACATTGTACTAATTGGTACTGTTTGTATCTAACACAGTTTTGCGTGGAACATCCAGTAGTTTTAACAGAAGCACCATGTAACCCACTGTATTCACGGCAATTGATGTCCGAGCTCCTGTTCGAGTGCTACCATGTTCCAAAGGTGTCATATGGAATTGATGATCTTTACAGCTTTTGGCGTAATAACAAACACCCCTCCACTGGATTGATTGTTTCCTCTGGGTATCACTGCTGTCACATTCTGCCAGTGCTGCATGGCAGGTTTGTAAAGCACCTACATGAAAACTTTAAAAAGATGCTACATGGAGCTGCTGGTTAGACAAAGTAATAGATAACAAATATTGCAAATTCAAAATAAAAATTAATAATGTGGGAAACTTCGAACAGCTCGATCAGACTTTAAACTGTTAATATTTCAAGTGCTCCATGGTTTTCTTTTATGCACTGATGGACTTGTTGTAATATTAATATGATTGTGTACCATTATTACACTGTGGACAATATTGTTCTCCTTATCTAAACAAAGATATAAATGTTCAGAGAAGGTTTACAGGACTAATGCTTGAAGTGGATGGGTTGTCTTACAAGGAAAGTTTGAACAGGCTGAGTTTGTATCCTCTAGAGTTTAGAAAGATATGAAGTACCTTGACTGAAATATGTAAGATCCCTTGGATTCTTGACTGGAGGCATGTGGGAAGGATGCTTCTTCTTGTGGGCGAATATAGAATGAAGGGTCACTGTTCAAGATCAGGAGTTCCCCATTTTAGACAGAGATGAGGAGACATTTTGCTCACAAAGGTTGAGATTCTTTGGCAGTCTCTCCTGAAAAGGTGGTGGAAGCAGATTCTTTAAATATTTTTAAGTGAAGGTAGATTCTTGATAAGCAAGGGAGTGAAAGGTCATCGGGTGGATGGGAATATGGAGTAATCCAATCAACCATGATCTCGTTGAATAGCTGAACGGTCTACTCCAGCTCCTAATTCATATGCTCATAATTTTTTGAATTACTGGTTTAATCTTTGTTATTGCAAATGCATTTGCATTAATGGAGTATCTTGCATGATATCCCAAAGTGTTTCACAAGATACAAGTTATTTTTAAAGTATACTCAGCATTGTAGAGGAATACAGCATGGTCCCACAAAGTTCAGTTCTGAGGAAGGGTCACTCGACCTGAAACGTTAACTCTGATTTCTTTCCACAGCTGCCACCAGATCTGCTGAGCTTTCCCAGCAATTTCTGTTTTCGTTTCTGATTTACGGCATCTGCAGTTCTTTTAGTTTTTAATTGGACTAATTCCTAGGTTCCCTGAAGAGTATTGGTGTTGGAGCAGCTTCAGTGAAACCTGCAAAACACCAGGCGGCCAACACGAGGGGAGAAGGTGTCCAGCAGGTCCCTGCAGTTATTGCTGATATGCTGCCTGTGATGCAATCAGTTCACTTGAATCATGGCAGAAAATGGTTTTATTGCTACTGGACTGGAGTTTGATTCCTACTAGAGAGTCTCCATCTGGAGACATTTGTGGTGTTCCCATCACTCTTTTTCAATGTACATATAGGCAGTCGGAAGAGTTCTGTTCTGGAGTCTGTTTGCAAATCAATTTGAATGTGAATTAAAACTCACTGCAGGACAATATAAAATAGCAGTTTGTCAGTACAGGAAATGGTTTTATGTCCGATCCTTAAACTTACACCCCTGTATGCGATTGTGTTCATAAGTACGAGTGTTTGTAAGCTGGGTGTTCATAAATCGGGGACCCTTGTAACTATCTTATTTCGCATTTCTCTATGTACATGCACCAATGGATGTTTCCTTGATGTAATCTAGGTTGGATGCTCATAACAGTAAAAGGATTAATCTGGGTGGAAGCCAGGCAGCATCGTACATGCAGCGCCTGCTACAGCTAAAGTATCCTGGCCACTTGCCAGCTATAACACTCAGCAGAATGGAAGAAATTCTCCACGAACATTGTTACATTGCAGCTGACTATATGGAAGGTAATTCTTGCTCTTGTGTTGTCGATACGTTCTTTGGAAATAAACAACTCCTGCAGAGATTGTGTCAGCTACTGTCGTGTGGTTATTGTGATCTGCTGCACTAGAATGTTTTGCCCAATGGTGACTTTCTGGAATGTTTTATCCTTGAGTAGTCCCGACAATTTCCTCTGGTTTTTCATCCTCTCCCCAAAGGTTGTAGGTTAGAGTGAAGATGGAAGATAATGTGTTTAGTCAGGAAGCTCCAGCCATAATAGAATGTTTCAAATTGACTGAAGTCACTGTCCCGGAAGAAAGATGTCCTGATCTGGTTTAGCTTTCATTGGATGATGTGTTCACCTGTTAAATAGTACAGTCAGTCCTCCAGTGGTGCAGTGGAAAAGATCCCACCATGCTATGAGCTGGAAAGCCTGATGTTTTGTTCTCTGCTGGCATATCTGATTTTAATTAGCCAGTAATAACTCGTAAGAAATGGCTTCAGCGGTCAGGATTCCATCTCATGATTGTCTCCCCAAATAATCTGTGCTGAAAAGTATGCACGTGCAGACAAGATCTGAATCAGTCTGATGCACTAAACAGAACTGATGATCAAGCATGTGTGGAAGAGTAGGATAGATTAAATAGCAACGGTTCAGATGGTGGCTCAGTGCCACATTCTCCCCAGCTCTGCCTAGGAGCCCTAATTCAGGATTTAACAGCAGATTCAGGAAGGCAAGTGCAATCTTAGCATTCTTTTTGAGAAGGCTACAAAACAAGAGCAGAGATGTACTGCTGAAGCTGTATAAGGCTCGGATCTGACTGCAATTGGAATGTTGTGAGCAGTTTTGGAAAATGTAGGGGGTGGTGGACTCTAAGGGGAATGTAGCACTAACAGCCAGGTTTCTGGTCCTGAGAATGGCTCTAGTGTAATGAGGGGTATACCGGATCCCAAGCTATCGATTGTGATAGGGGACTCTCTTGTCAGAGGCAGAGACAGATGTTTCTGTGGCCGACAGCAAGACGTCAGAATGGTCGGTTGCTTCCCTGGTGCCAGAATCAAGGATATCTCGGAGAGGGTGCAGAATATTCTCACAGGGACGAGGGACCAGCAGGAGGTCGTTGTACACTTCGAAACTAATGACATAGAATCTCATCCTTTTCTCTTCCTGAAGAGAAAATATAGAAAGTGAGGCAGGAATTTAAAAAGGAGGTCCTCGAGGCTAGTAATATTTGGATTGCTACTGGTGCCATGAGCTAGTGAGGTGAGGAATAGGAGGATAGAGCAGATGAATATGTGGCTGAGGAGCAGGTTTAGGGGAGAAAGATTCACATTTTTGGATGATTGAAATCTCTTCTAGGGTAGAAGTGACCTGTATAAGGAGGATGGATTACACCTGAATTGGAAGGGAACTAATATACTGACTGGGAGATTTGCTAGAGCTGCTCGGAAGGATTTAAACTATTGAGGCCAAGGGGTGGGGGTGAGTCAGGGAATTAGTGAGGAAAGAGATCTTAGACTGGTACAGTTGGGAAAAGGAGCAAGTCAAACTGTCAGGAACAAAGCAGAGAACAATGTAGGACTGATAAATTAAACTGCAGTTATTTCAATGCAAGAGGCCTAACAAGTAAAGCAGATGAACTCGGAGCATAGTTGGGATCATGGGACTGCGATATTGTAGCTATTACAGAGATGTGGCTCAGGGATGGACAGGACTGGCAGCTTACTGTTCTAGGGTATAAATGCTACAAGAGGAATAGAAGAGGGTGGAGGGCAAGAGAGAAGGGGGAGTGATGTTTTTGGCTAGGGATAACATTACAGCTGTACTTAAGGGAGGATATTTCTGGGAATATGTCCAGGTAAGTTATTTGGGTGGAACTGAAAAATAAGAAAGGGATGATCACCTTATTGGTATTGTATTTTGAACTCCCCGAATAGTCAGCGGGAAATTAAGAAACAAGTTTGTAAGGAGATCTCGGTTATCTGTAAGAATAATAGGGTGGTTATGGTAGGAGATTTTAATTTTCCAAATATGCACTGGGACTGCCATAGTGATGAGGGCTTGGATGAAGAGGAATTTGTAAGTATGTACAAGAAAATTTTCTGATTCAGTACGTGGATGGACCTACTAAAAGGAGGTGCAAAACTTGACCTACTCTTGGGAAATAAGACAGGGCAGATGACTGAGGTGTCAGTGGGGGAACACTTTGGGGCCAGTGACCATAATTCTATTCGTTTTAAAATAGTGATGAAAAGGATAGACCAGATCCGAAAGTTAAAGTTTAAATTGGAGGAAGGCCAATTTTGAAGGTATTAGGCAAGAACATTCAAAAGTTGATGGGGGGTAGACTTTAGCAGGTAAAGGAATGGCTGGAAAATGGGAAGCCTTCAAAAATGAGATAACGAGAGTTCAGAGACATTGTGTTCCTGTTAGGGTGAAGGGCAAGGCTGGTAGTTATAAGGATTGCTGGATGACTAGAAAAATTAAGATTTTGGTCAAGAATAAGAAGAAAGCATATGTCAGGTATAGACAACAGAGATTGTGTGAACCCCTAGAAGAGTGTAAAGGCAGTAGGAGTATACTTAAGGAGGAAATCAGGAGGATAGAAAGGGGACGTGAGGTAGCTTTGGCAAATAGGGTTAAGGAGAATCCGAAGGCATTCTACAAATACTTTAAGTACAGAAGGGTAACTACGGAGAGAATAGGGCCCCTTAAAGATCAGCGAAGCTGCCTGTGTGTGGAATCGCAGGAGACAGAGTGATACTAAACGAATATCTTGCAACAGTGTCTACTGTGGAGAAGGATATGAAAGATATACAACCTGGGGAAATAAATAGCAACATCTTGAAAAATGTCCATATTACAGAGGAGGTGGTGCTGGATGTCTTAAAATCCCCAGGGACCTGATTAGATGTACCCTAGAACTCTGTAGGAAAGTAGGGAAATGATTGCTGGGCTCCTTGCTGAGATATTTGTATCATCGACAGCCACAGATGAGGTGGGGGAAGACTGGAGGTTAGCTATCTTGATACCACAATTTAAGAAAGGTGGCAAGGAAAAGCCAGGGAACTGTAGATCAGTGAGCTTGACATTAGTGGTGGGCAAAGTTGTTGCAGGTAATCCTGAGGGACAGGATTTATATGTATTTGGAAAGGCAAGGACTGATTAGGGATAGTCAACATGGCTTTGTGTATGAGAAATCGTGTCTCACTAACTTGATTGAGTTTTTTGAAGAAATAACAAAGAGGATTAATGAGGGCAGAGCAGTGGACATGATGTACGTGGACTTCAGTAAGGCATTCAACAAGGTTCCTCATGGTAGACTGGTTAGCAAGGTTAGAGCACATGGAATACAGGGAGAACTTGTCATTTGGATACAGAACTGGCTCAAAGGTAGGAGACAGAGGCTGGTGTTGGAGGGTTGCTTTTCAGTCTGGAGGCCTGTGACTGGCGGTGTGCCACAAGGATCAGTGCTGGGTCCGCTGCTTTTCGTCATTTTATATAAATAATTTGAATGTGAAATAAGAGGTATGGTTAGTAAGTTTGCGGATGACACTAAAATTGGAAATGTAGTGGAGAGCAAAGAAAGTTACCTCAGAGTACAATGGGATCTTGATCAGATGAAATGTGAGGTTGAGGGAGCACTTTGGAAAGGCAAATAAAGGCAGGACTTATACACTTAATGGTAAGGTCCTGGGTGTGTTGCAGTTTTGGTCTCTTTTTTGCCATTGCGAAAATGCAGTGGCGGTTCATCAGACTTGCCTTTGTCTGACTTCCTCCTTTTTAAAATACCCCTATTTTGATTTTTTCCCCAAAATTTCCAAAACAATGCAACAGCTTATGAAACAGTATTTACCTCTTGTAGAATTTAAAGCCTAAAAGATAGGCATGAGTTACCTTGTGACTACAGTAACTGATTTAACTAGTTCAGTGAAGTTTGAGAGTTATGTGGCCAAGCTGCTCCTTCTGTAAATTATTTTGGTATTGATCATCAGGGAGCATCCTTTATACTTCATTACTCTTGGAAAGGTAACTTTTTGTTAATTTCAAGCAAAACAAAAGTTGAGCAGTTCCTTGGATTGTGAAATGCTTTGAAGGAATGTCTTTATATTTTGGGCTTAATTAATCAGGGAGAATGTTTTTCTGGATTCCACAGGCTTGATGTAATGAAAAATGGTAAAAGAACAGGAAAGGAGAGGGATTGAAGCCAAGCTGAGGCTAATTTAACACATACCATGTGAGGTAGCATTCCATTCAAAGAAATAAAATTAAAGGAAGGATTCAGATTAATACAAGAGGCAAGCATGAATAGATCCAGGAGACATGAATTAAAATAAGAAAAACAATTATATCTATGAGGATGTTGACTAAGAACATAATTAGATTTGAACTGTGAACCTTGCTGCACAGTTGAATACCCTGCCAACATTCATTGTTTACTGCAGATAAAGAGCAGCCATTTAGATAGAGTACCTGGTGCCTGTATAACTTCAGCAAGGAATTAAAAACAAGTTCTTGCTAAAGGGCTTCATCTTCATTGGGAGCAAATGCTTATTGTGCAAGTCAGGGGAAATTGCTGTGGGTCTGATCCGATAATCTTAAGGGCAATGAAGATTTCTTACATTACAAAATTTGTCTGATCTTTAAATTTTAATGATTAAATATCAGATTGTTGGTCCCAAAGTTAGATGAAAGAAGACAGTATTCATGACCTTGGGTAGTCCCACTTGACTGCAAATCTGGAATTATAAGTAATGATGACCATGACCTGTTGTTGATTGTTGGAGAAACCCATCTGGTTCACTTGTATCCTGTAGAGAAGGAAACTGCTGTCCTTACCTGGTCTGGCCATCATGTGAATCCAGACTCACAGCATCATGGTTAACTACCTTCTGGGTAATTAGGAATGGGCAATAAATGTTGACCTAACTAGTGACGCCCACATCCTGCGAACGAATAAAAGAAAATTAACTACTTTGTGAAGTTGTAGTAACCGCAGTACGCCATTTATACAAAAGGTCACATGAGCAGCAATGTAATAATGACCAGATAAACTGGATCTTTTCTAAATTATGTTTTTTGGGTGTGCAAATGTTGGCCAGGGATCGTTGACCACCTTGTTACTCCTCTTTGAAATACTGCCATGGCATTTTTCGTATCCACCTAATAGGGCAGGCCTGGCCTTGGTATAACATATCATCACAGGACTATATTGGAGTGAGAGCCTAGGCTTTATGCTTGAACCTCTGGAGTGGGACTTGAATCTTCAACCTTTTGGCTCCGACATGACATTACATCTGATGAATAGAAGACATTTGTGTTCAAGACACGCAATAAAAATTGATGCAGGAGTAAACTTAAGTGTATGTCAGTTACATCAAAGGAAATCAAATATTTGTTTATCTTCTTCATCCAGATCGGTATAACTTCCACTACTTTTTGAACCTGTATGTTGTTAATGTGCACATTTTAAACGTTTCATATACTAATCTGATAAGGGGTTTTAGTTTTGGAGATTCGATTACATTTTTTCATGCTAGCATCAGCATTGAATGCTCGCAAATACGTTATAGCATTGGCTTTGATTACGAGAGAGTTAGGACTCCACATGGCCAAATAAATTGCTGTAGTCTATGACCTCATTGCCTCCTGCATTGGTATGATCTTTCTTCTTACTGTCTTCTGTATTCTCAAAGTCTTTATAGACAAGATTGGCAATGTAATTGCTGATTGTACTAAATACACGGATTTGTGCTCACCAGAAACTTAATTGATGTGACCTAAACTGATTCCAAGTTGGGACTTTTCTTTTGCTTCCTTTGTTCTAAGCTCTAAAATTCACTCCCTAAACCCATCTGCCTCTCAACTTCTGTCTTTTCCCTTATGATACCCCATAAGACCTAGCTCTTTGACAAAGCTGTTGGCCATCTATTCCAATATCATCATCTTTAGCTTGATGTCAAATTCTGTCTGATAATGCTCCTTGAAGCATCTTGGATATTTACTTGGTTGAGTGCATTGGACACGGCCAAGTTTATGGATTCTGACACATCACAGCATATGCTCCTCCTCCTCCTGCTCCTCTGACGCTGCTTGGCCTGCTGTGTTCATCCAGCTCTACACCTTGTTATCACAGCATATGCCTGATCAGGATCTGAACCCAGATCCTTCATTTTGTTTTAAGACCATGACATACTTTCCTGTTTGTATTACACTGATCTGACTTACTATGTAAGCTACTGTATATTGTCATTGTGCACTGCACAGTTGTAATTCCATGGTTAATTTGTAGTAATCTTGTGTAAAATGGAACTTGCTGAAAAAATAATAGTGCCTAGATCAATGCATGATGTTGTTAAGGTGTAAATTGACCAACAATGTAGTGAGGAAGAGATAACAAGTGAATTTCAAATCATCACAAGTTGTTGTCTGAATTGCATTGCTCCACCATGAGCTTTAAAATTAATCTCCCTGTGATTTTCATGACGTTACATAATATAAACATTACTGCTGGTTACTCTCACCATTCGAAGTTAAGTAAGGTAATTAATAGACTTCTAACAATGAGACAATTATTAACCTCACTGGCCCAAAAAGTAAATAGCTTAAAAAGTGGTATCAGGATCTTGTGGCACAGTGGTAACATCCATACCTCTGGGCCAGGAGAACCAGGTTCAAGGTGTGCCATAGCCTCTCTGAACAGGTTGACTTGAAAATATCTAAACAGTGGTGTCTGTCCTTCAGGTAGTCAATTTTTGTCAGAGCTTTTTTTTTGTCACATGGTAAATTAATTTTTTCCATAATTTTCCTATTTCATATTTTGTCTATATTGTGACATTTCTGTATTTGATCTGGGCTTGAATTCACTGACTCTGGTTCACACTGTTTCTCATTTCTTCCTTGATGCTGAAATCTCATCGCTTAAGGATATGGACTGTTGGTCCCACCATGCATCCAGGTCAAAGGTCCCCTGTTACCTTGGCTCATACACCTAGCAACTTACATGACAATGGAAAAGTTTGACAGATACAGGAAAAGCTCTAATTAACGGGCTATGCTGTGAAACATCCTACTTCAGCAAACCCCATTTTGGTAGGAGCCTTCATAAGAGAGCGATTAAATCCTTCCCCACTGCCAGTGACTTTGTTGGACGTCTGTTTAGTTTTAGAAACAATGAATTAGCTTTTTTAAATACAGTTTTGATTTAGGCATCTACTGCTTTCAATTCTGATGCTGCATTGGTGTTTAGTATTAGTGAATCTGCCACTAATAACATTGAAGTTACTGTCGATCAGAAAATTCACATCAACCGACCACATTGATGCTGTGGTTACTACAACAGGTCAGAGGCTATGAATTCTGCAGCTAATGGTTCATCTCCTGAAGCTGTAAAGCTTCTTCACCACCTACAGGAATGGTGGACTACACTCCATTTGCCTGTTTGGCCAACAACACTTAAGAAGCTTGACACTATCTAAGTCAAAGAGGTCTGCTCAATTGACAATCCATGCATCAGCTTTAACTGTGGTTGGCCACAGCCTATTGGAGACATTGCAGCATGTTACCAACATTCCTTCAGCACTGCCTCCCAAATTCCTATCTCCACCACTCAGGAGGACAATAGAAACTGGTGTATGGAAACTGCAACATCTCCAAAGTATCCATAATCCTGACTTGGAACTATATCAGCTGTTTCTTCAACATCATTTGGCCAAACATCTGGAATGCCTTCTTAGCAGCATACCTTCTCCACACAGACTGAAGTAGTTCTAGAAGAAGGCCTACCATGAGCTTCTCGGGGGCAAACAGGGATGGACAATCAATGCGAAACTTGTCAACAATGCCAATGCTGCATGAATGAATTTTTGAAGAAATGCATCCATTGACCTAAATATCAAGAAGAAAATAAACAAATTTTGTGGTTTAAGAGTTTTCACAGCAATACATGTGATTAGAAATCTAAATTTGTGTCTTGAATTTCGAGTCACAATTGAAAAGTAGGTGCGATGTAATTATTTCCTTGTTTGCAGAGCTCAGCCTGTGGAAGCAGCCGGACTTCTACCAGAAAAATATTCACAGGATGCAGTTGCCCTTTAACAATAAGCTGCTGGCCAGCACCTTGACCGCCGAGGAGAGGATGGAACGGAGGCAGCAGCAGATTCGCAGGCTACAGGAGCTTAACGCACGGCGTAGGGAGGAAAAACTGCAGCTCGATCAGGAAAGACTCGAGAGATTGCTCAGCATCCAGGTAAAGGAATAGGGCCACAGTTTACAAACAAAAGGTGCCCTGCCACGTCAATATCCACTGCAATATTTCACAAGCATGAACATACTGTGTCCAATACTCTGCCTGTACCTTATTTGGGAAAAATAAAAAAGTTACACATTTCATGACATCATAACCCAGGCATTCCATCATGAACGAATCATTCCTTAAAAGTTACATTTTTTGATGGGCATATGTGGCAAGTTGCGAGGTGTGGCAAATAATAATCAGTTAATTTAATTGTTTTTTGTGGTTTTAGTTACGTCTAGGACATTGGAAGAACTTCAGTCTCCTCATTAAAATGCTGTGGGATCTTTGACGTACATCTTAATAAGACCTTGGTTTATTCTTTCAACCTAAAGATAGAACTCTGTTAATGCCATGTTCCCTCACTGTCTACGATCGGGTTTGATCCCTCAACCTTCTGACTTGAGCAACATACGAAATAGGAAATTGCAAGAGTGCGACCAACTAAGCTGTGCTTGACACTTGAACCATTGCATTCTTTTTCCATGCTTGATGTTTGAGGAGCAATGGATGGAATTGAATAGCGAGGCCCCCAAAACTCATGTTTAAAAAGCTCAAGTTTCCATGCAATAAAAACAGACTTTACCAGTCACTGTGTATTAATGGCTGTGCATATGACCTCGGATGCAAGTGAAATGATTACTTCCATCTTACCTAGCCAGACTGGCAAATACAAATCATTGTGTCTTTTTACTTTTTCCTGATTTGTTTCATCATAAGGGTTCAATTGTTACTGTAATATCTGGGAGCTGTAGAATGTGTCAACCGAGCGATCAAAGCCTAACAACGTGTGAGACTTTACCTAATGAAGGATATGTTTGACATAGGGAAGTGTACTGGAATTTCCCAGACTGGTTGCAGAATGGTGGAACTATCCAATGAAGAGAGAGGGAGGAGACTGGGTCCAAATTCAAAGAATGAAAGGTGATTTCATAGAAACTTTGAAAATTCTTAAAGGGATAGACAGAGTAGATGCAGAAAGGATGTAATCCCCTGGCTATGGAGTCTGTAACCAGGGGGTACAGTCTGAGATTAAAAGACATAATAGGACTGAGATGAGGAGGCACTTCTTCACTCATGGGCTGGTGTATCTTTGTCATTCTCTACCCTAAAGAGCTGCGGAAGCTGAGTCACTAAGTAACTTCATGACAGAGATTGATTGATAGATTTCTAGTTACTGACTCTTCCATCTGGTAGAAGAGAGAAAAGTTTGAAAACCTATATCAATAGATTTAAGAATAGCTTCTTGCCCACTCTTATTGACTTATGAACAGACCTCACATATATTAGAGTTGATCTTTCTGTGCACCTTCTCTGTAGCTGTAACACTATATTCTGCATTCTGTTCTATTACCCTGATGTACTTGTGTAAGGTAAGATTTGTCTGGTCAGCATGTTAAACAACAAAAACAAAGTTGCTGGAAAAGCTGAGCAGATCTGGCAGCATCTGTGAAGGAAAAAACAGAGTTAATGTTTCGGGTCCGGTGACCCTTCCTCAGAACTGAGTTCTGAGGAACTGTATTTAAAAAAGCTAATTCATTGTTTTTAAAACTAAACAGACGTCCAACGAAGTCACTGGCAGTGGGGAAGGATTTAATCGCTCTCTTATGAAGGCTCCTACCAAAATGGGGTTTGCTGAAGTAGGATGTTTCACAGCATAGCCCGTTAATTAGAGCTTTTCCTGTATCTGTCAAACTTTTCCATTGTCATGTAAGTTGCTCGGTGTATGAGGCCTTTGACCTGGATGCATGGTGGGACCAACAGTCCATATCCTTAAGCGATGAGATTTCAGCATCAAGGAAGAAATGAGAAACAGTGTGAACTGAGTTCTGAGGAAGGGTCACTGGACCTGAAATGTTAACTCTGTTTTTTCCTTCACAGATGCTGCCAGATCTGCTGAGCTTTTCCAGCAACTTTGTTTTTGTTCCTGATTTACAGCATCCGCAGTTCTTTTGGTTTTTATTTAGCATGTTAAACAATATGTTTCACTGTATCTCGGTAATAAATCCAATCAAAACAAGTGATATGGAGACAGCACATGATCTAGAATGATGAAGTAGGCTCGAGGGGCTGAATGGCCTACTTTTGCCGTTCTGATCCTTTGAAACTAATTGGATAGATATTTCAAAGGGCTGCACGTGCATGATGCATTGAGTGGCTGTCTCCTATTGTACAAAATTCAGTGATCCTTCAAGTTGAAAATTGTGCCTCAACCTCTGTTGCATCAGTACTCCGATCTTCCTCATGATCTCTCCCCTTGCACCCAAATAGTTATTACACAAATAATAAGGTTGTATGTTATGTTATGGGGAAGCAATGGCCTGTGGTTTTAACACGACTATTAATCTGAAGACCCAGGTAATGCTGTGGGGCCATGAGTTCAAATCCCACCATGGCAAGTGAAAGAATTTGAATTCAATAAAAATCTGGAATTAAAGATCTAATGATGACCGTGAAACCATTGTTGATGGTCAGGAAAAACCCATCTGGTTCACTAATGTCCTTTTAGGGAAGGAAACTGCCCTCCTTACCTGGTCTGGCCTACATGTGACTTCAGACCCACAGCAATGTGGTTGACTCCCAAGTGCCCTCTGGGTAATTAGGGGTGGGCAATGAATGTTGGCCTAGCCAGCAACACCCAACATCCTGTGAATAAATTTTATAAAATAGAAAATAAAAACTTAATGAAGTAGAGATCTGAGCATACAAATGTGCAAATCACTAAATGTTACACTAAATTAATAATACTGTTTTAAAAAGAAACAAACAGTGATGTTTATTTCTAGAGGGATTGAATTAGAGGTATAAAAGTTGCAATAAATTGAACCTAAACCATCGTTTGACGTCACTTGGAGTACCGAGCACATATGTCAGTGACTACGATGAAGGACTTTTGAATTGTTTATCCATGTTTTCAGATGAAGTTAAAGGAACAGTAATTCCAAAAGGATGTAGACAGATTGGCCTCAATATTTTTGTGGGATCAGATTCTACAAGGGAGACTGGGTCGTGTGATCATTTTGCATCGTGAGGCCTGAGACAGAAATGCAGGAAAACTATTTCTCTGGTTCTCACAGAATGGAGCAATATTGTTTTCTGGCTGCAAATGTATTGCATGAGGTGCACAAAGACTAGGCAGACAAAGAAAAAATTTTCAACATAATCAGGCAGATACTTCAAAAACTCTTGTAAAGTACAAATCTGCATACTTGAAGCATGTAGACCAAGAATTAGATGCACGATGGACATTTAACAGAGAGGAGAATCTGGAGTGCATATTGTTATAGGGATTATGGGCATGTTATAGAAAGGGTCCTGAATCTCTTCTCACACTGTGCTGTCCTTTTATGAAGCCAGTGGCACAGTTCACACATGATCTCACATATGAAGCTTGCTTAATCTTTGCAGTAGTGGAAATTAAAATGAAAATAAGTTATGCAGATTTTTAACATGTTGCTTTTGAGATTTATATAGTGCTGTTGTTTATGATCTCAACCAAAAGAAAAATCAACGTCATTATTGTTGAATTGTTAAGAAATTGGTGAGGGAATCAGAATCCACCATCAGAAGGCCAGGAAAGTACTTTCTTTTGTCTGTCTGGTTTGAAGTGCCCTGGACTGCATCTGATGTTTGACCAGGTACTGTGGAATTGTTGCAGTACTGATTTCCTCCCACTAGAGGGTAGTGACTGGTTCCATTGCCAATGGAAACTTGACTGTAACCAGGGGCTGTACAGCAGAAGTGGGGTTTGTAGAAGCTTGAACATTAATGACAAAGAACAGCACAGAAATGGGTCAGTTGACCCAACTGGATTCTAGTGTTTATACTCCGCACGAGCCTCCTCTTCTCACCCTGCCAACATATCTTTCCTTTCCTTTCACCCTCATGCGTTTATCTGGCTTCGCCTCAAATGCATCATATGTTTTTGACAATGGGAGCTGTCTAGGTTACCTTTTTAGTGCAAAATATGTAATCAAGTTGACTACCTTCCAGTTATTTGCGCTAATGAATGGATCTTGCCCTCTATATAACGTCTCCTTGTTTGCTGATTTCTGCAAGCTAATGGATTGCGTGAGTTGCTTACGGAACCAGCCAGCCAACGAGAAAAACCTTTCAGTCTAATCAGGCAAATACTTCAACCACTCCCATGTAAGTGCTAACACTGCTGCTTGCTTGGAATTTTGTAATATACATTTGGGACTTGATTCCAACTCTGGGTGGATTTTGCAGGATAACACTCCAGTGGAGAACTTTGGCTGTAATTAAACTGCTGAGTGCAGCCTGTGGAAATTGAACAGAGATCAAAGACCTCTATTTACTGTTTGATTGTAAAAGAAATAAATATTTGCATTTGAAAAGTGCTTTATAAATGCAAGTTCTTTCTGCAGATAGTGTCTTTCTATGTTATTGAATATTTGGGGATGCTTCTTTTATACTCCATTCTTGGGTTGGGAGTGTTTTTGGGATAATCTCCTCTGGTTAGTTGTTTAATTGTCAACTACTGTTCATGACTGGATGTGGCAGAGCCTTGACCTAATCTTTTGGTTGTGTGAACCCATACCTTGGGCTCCCAATCTAGACCTGACAGCAAACGATGAGCCAGCATTATTAATCCGCAGACATCAGTCATAGGAGTGGCCTGAAATTATGTTTGTTTTGTGGGTGTTGCATCAAGAGAAATCCTGATCAAGACACCAGGAGAACTTCTGTGTAACTACATACAAATACAGAATGAAACTTTGAAGATGGAGCTTTTGCTTTGTGAGACCTAGTTTTGACTGCAACCGTACACATTGGTTGTGAGATTTTGTTTAAATTCATTCATGGGATGAGGGCATTGCTGGCTAGACCAGCATTTATTGTCCACCCCTAGTTGCCCAGAGGCACCCACGTTGCCGTGGGTCTGGAGTCACATGTAGGCCAGACCAAGTAAGAATGGCATTTTCCTTCCCTAAAGGACCTTAGTGAATCAGATGGGTTTTTCCTGACAATCGGCAAAGGTTTCATGGTCATCAATCAGACTCTTAATTCAGAATTTTATTGAATTCAGATTCCACCATCTGTCATGGTGGGGTTTGAACCTGGGTCCCTAGAACACTAGAAGTACAAAAGTGTCCATAATTTGCCTCTAATGGGTGATCTCTTTGTGATAAGTTGGTTGTATGAAAAAGGAAAGTTACACTGAGGCAATAGAAAGTGTCCTCCTGTGTTGTAATAAAGGCCCTTTGGTCTGGTACTTCATTTAAGGTCTCGCCATGACAGGCTCTAAATTGGCAATACGTGGTCTATTTTCCACAATTGAGCTAACTTACCTTGGCAGAATGGGGCTGATGTGTATAAAAAAGCAAGCTTGCACAGCATAATACATTATTTTCTTGTCTTTGTTCCCTTAGGAGCTTTTGGAAGAAGGCATGACTGAACGCTTCAAGCGAGCTCTGTCGGAAATGAACATGGATTCTGCAGAGGAGTTGCAGTCATATGTTAACAAGCTCAGCCTGGCCATCGAGCAAACCAAGCAAAAAATCCTGCAGGCAGAAGTGAATGTGGAGGTGGACGTTGTTGACACAAAGCCAGATGTAAGTAATGATGGCAACTGATCTTGTGGTCACTTGCCCTTGTGTTCTTTATCTGATTGTTACTGTGCACGCTTTAATGGCAGCCAGCAAACAGTTTGGAACACAGCAGCCATCCTTTACATGTTAAGGTTGTATTGTCAACCTGTTTGGTTGCAGAGCTTGATCCTGTGCTTAGTCAACACCGATATATTCAGTCTGACACTCATTAGATCATTATCAGCCTTTGGAACTAGAATTGTTTTATTTATTTCTTGATTTATGTTCCCGAGTCATAAGAATGACTTGCACTTCTCTAATTTCTTTCATGATTTCCCAAAGAATTTTACAGCCAGTAAAGTACTTTTAAAGTACAGTTTCTCTTGTAAAGTAGGAAATACAGCAGGCAGTTAGTGCACAGCAAGGTTTCACACTGACATTTAAGGTTAGTGACCTCTTGTCGGAACTCAATGACTAATTCAACTGTTTCTGCCGGTGTTTGGTTGAGTGATTAAATGTTGGCTGGGACACCCAGGAGAACATCCCAACTCTTCGGTGAGATAGTGCCATGAAATCTTTCACATTTTTTTTGGAAGGCAAGTGGGTCCTTAGTTTAAAGTCTCTTCCAAAAGTAGCAACTGAATCTTTACTCGGAATGGGATCAGCAGGGCATCGTATCCCACCACATTGTGCTTTAACCCAATATGTCGTGGATGAGCTTGTGTCGGCCAAATAACATTTTAACATTATAACTTTTATGTTGGCTTTGATTTTACTTGAATAATGACTTGAGGGTAATTTTAAGCCACTAGCAAGGCAGCAACTTCAATGGATTGTGTGGAAGTATCAGTTTGACACTTCATCTGATGATAATCTTCAGAGGCCTTACTGGGGTATAAAACTGTCTGGCGTTGGATCTTGTGCGTTTTCCTATTAGTTAAATCGAACCCCTTTATGGTCCTAAAATGCTGAGGTGACACAATATGCATGGTTATACTGGCCTGTTACAGGCAAACCCTGAGAATAACAGAAAGAATTTGCCAGCGAATCTTTTGGTTGAATTAAGATTTCTGCGAAATTGTAAATGGAATTAGACTGAGAGTGTGCAAAGAAATGTAAATCTTCACCTCCTTTGAGATATTAGTTTGTCTCTGTAGAGTTAGAATTGAAGTGGAATCAGGTTATAGGACTTTGCTGCTCGTGGTGTAGCCAGAGGGATCGGAGCAGATTGCCTGAGCTGTTTGTCAATAATGTGTGAAGTGGATGTGAATGATACCATGACCTATGTCAGTACACCCTGTGCTTTCTGAAAGAACCCGGAGAAAGGAGATTGAAGAACAGAAAGCTTTGGCCAAGCAAAAGGGTCATCCTGTCAAACCTTGTGAACTGGTGCTATTGAACTGTGCTTCCCAGTTTATTTAACTTCCACCTGTAAAATCATAGATTTACTCGTTGTCCCAGTCTGACTGTATACTTGTGCAGCAGTTTTAAAAGGGAGTTAGAGTATTATTTCAGAGAGCCATATATGTTGACGGTTCATAGGCAAATTACCTATGATTAGAATTTCCCTGTCTTGTGGTAACTTGACAGACAGGTAAATCGGGACTTTGTGTTGCTTTGATTAAATTGTTAGCTTTTGTGGCGACCCTGGGAGTAGTGAGACTAGAGAATCTGCATATTTTTCCAAGTGTAATATAACAGGCCTTTTTAGCCATTTAGTTAGATCATGGCTGATTAGTACCTGGATCCCATTTATCTACCTTTGCTCCATGACCCTTGACCCTTGATCAAGTATTGACTGCATTTTGGGCAAGAGACTTCCAAATTTCTGGTACCCTTTGTGTGATGAGTTGGTTCCGGATTTCAGTGCTTAATGGCCAAGCTCTAATGCTAAGATTATAGCTTCTTCTCCAGTATTCTTTCACCAAAGGAAATAATTCCTTTTTATTTATCACAGAGAATCCTTTTATCATTTTAAACACTGCAAGTAAATTGCCCCACAATCTCCAGCCTACCCGAGTATCTGCAATTAATTTTAGAAGCAGAAGAAAGAATATTGGATGAGCGTAAAGAAAATGTTTTAAAATATTTATCCTTTTAATTAAATAGAAGCTGCAGCAGCTTTATTTTTAATGCCAATATGTGTTCAGTTCAACTCTTGGTGACCCAGAGTATTCAGTGACTGGAACTATAAGTGTATGAGGGAGACTGTACGCTTGCAAAGGATCTGCAGGTAACTCGTGTGAGTTGATGCTGGAAGATCTCCAAAAATAGCAAGGAACAGAACAGAAAACTCATGCACAGCACATGGCACTCAAATACCTTTGACACTGGTAACAGGGAAGTAGTGCTGATGCCAGCATTACAGTCTTTACAACACAGGAACAAATAATTTCCACCCAACCGTTTCATGCAGTGTTCATGCTCTGAGTGAGTGTCGTTTTGACCTTCTTCATCTAACCCTGCCAGCGTACCCTTGTGTTACTTTCTTCCTTATCTAGCTTTCATCTATGCTATTGCTTCAATGAGTGCGATAGTGAGTTTCACATTCTAAGCTTTCTCTGGCCAAAGGGGTTTCTACCTAACTCACTGTTGGATTTACATGTGACAGTCTTAAATTCATGGCCTCTAGTCTTGGTCTTGCTAGGATGTTGAGGCATCACCTCTTCATTTATCCTGTCATAAACTTTAAGACCTCTTTGGGCTATTGGTCTAAAGAAAAAGGATGTTTAATCATTTCTAATGGTTGTAACTTTACAAATTCTCTATT